TTCAATTCGTCAATAGAAAAAGCATGACTGAATCTATGATTAATTTAATAATAGTTAAATCAATCTCATTACACATTCATGAAAAGAAACTATAAATTCTAGAGTTGTTCAACAAGAAAATATCAAAATATCTGAATTAATGATATATTAAAAGGGGTATTTTAATATCGATTTTGATTATATTAAAATAATAATTCACATTGTTAGGTATCGTGATCGGGAATCTGATGAGTCACATACAAAAGGAGAACCAAAAGAATGAGATTCACCAATTAATTAATTAACAAGAGTTGAAAAATTAATTAATTGTGTTGCTTGTTAATATGTTCGAATTAATTAATTGGATTAATTAATTCATGGACCAAATTTAATTAATTGGACTAATTAATTATTGGACCGAGTTAAATTTAATAGATGGGCCAAGCCCACTTGAATTAATATTAATAAGTCATTAGAGTTTTAGAAAAAAAAAATAACAAAATTCATATTCTTGCTAGCATTAACTTCTGATTCTCTCATTCTTGTTCCCTATGTGGATTTTCATTGGAGGCTGACAATTTGACAGCTGTGAATTGCAGTTCGTAATTGTTTTTGTGCGATAATCAACAAAAGAGTTTGCAAAATTTATCAAATGACAAAGCAGATTCGTGGTGGGAATGGAAAATAATTTATTTTTCGCTATGCATGATTAAGTAAATTCTCAACATATACCTGGTAAAATTGTTCACTGAAATCACGGTACCTCACACGTTGAGTGGGTTCGTCCTCCAATTATGTTTCTCTTTTACCTACTCTAGGTTTAAGGTGTCATAACTTGAGTAATTTTTTTTCAAGATGTCGTAGCGTGTTGGATGATCGTGCTACATATATACGGTCACAATGATTTTTTCTTTTTTTTTTTTCAATTTACTTATTGGACTACTACCAAGCTTGATTGTCTAGCTCAGAGATCAATTAAGTTTGATCAAGTTGACTTGATTATTAAAAGCTAAAAATAAATAAAACGAGCTCCTTTATACTTGTCGATCCAAAGATTTTTTTTGAATTCTAATATAATTTTTTGTTTAAAAAAAATCAGTTTTTTGACCATAAATACTTACTCTTCTTTTACATTTTTCACACAATCTTCCATCTCTCAAACAATATTAATTTTCTTCAATTATAACTTCATTGTATTTATAAATATTTAAATCACTTTTTATTCACATATTTTGAAAAAACCACAAGTAGTTTTCAATTTTCCACTACTCATTTCTATTTATTTTTAGTTTTTATAATTCATAAAGACTTTCCGAACATGTAAGCGTGTTTGATGCACATTATTGATGAAATAATGTATTTTAAATAGTGATGTGATATAAAATGTGTGGTTAAAAAATAAGGAAAATTTTTAGATGTGATGAAAAATATTATTTTATTGAATAATGTGTGGTTGAAAATAAGTTTTGAAAGAAAGAATTTTGAAAGAATGTGGATCAAACATGGAGATTTCCAGAAGAATGAAAAAATAAAATAAAAAAAGTAATTTCGACCTACCTGACATGCGATATTGACACGTTCCGTTCTTATATTTGGAAGATCTCAGCTCTAACCATATTTCGAAATTGTGAGTTCAAAATCACATCATGCTCGAATCGAACTGATAGTACGTGGGTTTCTTCGGGCCGGCCATCTCGTTTTGTCAACATACGATATACATAGAGGGACTTCTGATGAATATATAATAGATTAGGGTCTATTTGGTAATTTTTCCAAAGGTCTCCTTGACATAAATTCTTCTTCAGCTAGGGTTTTTAGAATACTAGTTTTTGTCTCGTGCAATGCACGAGTTGTGTTCTATTGAAGGTAATATTAGCTTCTTGAATGCTAAAATTAGATAAGAGATTGTATTACATGAGAATGATTGAAATTTGGAGAAGATAATTTAGAAGAAATGAAACTGTCATTGAAAACTCAGCTGCACTGGAAATTAATTAAAGGAGAGTTGTTTGATAGAAAACATTTATTACACTGAGAACTGAAAAGACAATTACATCCCCCGTTTGAACAATAAGTTTACAAAATGAATTTCCATAAACATTGATGTTAAGGGTAAATTTGGAACTAAAAATATTTCATGCACTTCTACCACATAAAATTACCCAACATTAAAAAGGGACTTCCGATGAATATATAAGTAGAGGGACTTCTGATGAATATATAATAGATTAGGGTCTATTTGGTAATTTTTAAAAAGGTCTCCTCGACTGCTTCCTCTCGGCCGTCACTTCTCTACATTGTCTCCTCTCTCTCTCTCGCGGCCGAGCCGCCTCCTTTTCAGGTTCTGATCGATTCTTGTCTCTTGAATAGTTTCGTGTTAATGAGTAGTTTTCTTTGATGCTTTTGGGCGTTTAATGATTTGATTAGTTCAATTATCATTATTAGCTGTTCATTCGTTGATATTTACTCTTATTTCTGTATTTTTAAATTTGGAATTTGTTTCCTTCATATGCTATGCTGAGATTGTGCACTCGTATTTGCTAAGTATTATGGCGTTTTGTATTCGAACCGACCAAGAAATCTGTTTAAGAAATGCTTAACAAATTGAAGCAATTTTCAGGGTCTGTTTGTAGTTGAATCAATAGACATTTAGATCTCCAAACCCATTCTTGGTCGTTCCTCTAATCCCAAGTGGGAAGAACTGTTTTGTTCACAGCCCAAATACTTTCTAATTTGGCAGAATAAAAAAGCAAACTTGAATCACTCAAATCTCTTTCTGTTGTAGAATTCTTGTTCTGTCTTATCAATGATCTTTACACGTTAAAAAGATAAGCTAACATGTTTCCTACACACCCACATTACTGTTCTTAGTTCTTGCCTTTTGTCAATTTAATGAATATGGCCAGGTTGGTCCTCCTTGTGCTCGATCCAAATATCAGTAGAATGGGTCCTATTTTTATGAGTATTGCTTTATAACTTGGCATATAATAACAACTCAGATTTGATAAAAAGAGTTGATCTTGTAAATGTCTTAATTTGGAATACATCCTTCTTTTACCTAGGAGTTAATAGTAATTCTTTCATCTAAAAAGCTTGAGTTGTTACTTGTTAGAGAAGTAGAAACTTATATCGTAATTTATCTTTGACACAACCTATTAGGTTGGGTTTGTTTTCATCAAAGGCTTGGTATGTGGAATTTTTTGTATATATGTAGCAGAAGCATAAACTTATACATTTGCTTAGTTAGATTTTGTGTTGAACCCCCCATCAAGAAACGTAAGTTGCTATTGGAAGAATTTATTTCAAATCTTTCTTTGATAATTTTAAAAGGCAAATTAGATAGTTTTGTGTAAAATAATCAATTAATTGGCATCTTACTTTTACATGTATGTTTAGACAGCTATATAATTACACACGGCAGACTGTGATGTACTTTCTAGTTTAAAAATGCTGATATTTGTGTTTCTGTATTGCTGTTTCTGTATGTTTTTAAATACTCTGTGTACAAGGATTCGGTGTCCATGAAGTGATAAATTGTTCAATTTTTCCATAAGCTGGATTCTTTTGAAAAATTGTTCTTAAAGAAGCATTTTGGGGGCGTGGATTGGCGTTCTCTCTTTCGTTTATGATGATGATGTAGTATTTATATGGTTTTGACATTATAATTTAGACAATTGATGAATATGAAAATAAATTGAAGTTTTTGGCTTGTAGTCATCGTTTTCTTCTCTTCCCCCCTCCTCCCCTGAATTCTGTTTCTTTCTCCAACTTCTTCCTCCGTTCTCTCTGGTTTCTCCCCCCGTTCTTGCTGCCTTCTCCTTTGTCACACGTCACCAACCAGTACTTTTTTGATGTAAAAAAATTGTACAAATAGATTTAACCTTGCTGATTTCCCTTCTAGATTTGATACAGCTTTCTTTTCGTCCTTTTTGTCAATGAAACGACGGTCTGTCCTAATTTTAGGTTCTCTTTGGACCAATGCTTTCAGCAATACTCCTTTGAACTTGATATTAGCTTCAAAAACTTCTTTTGTCTGTTTGCTTCTACTCACTAGTTCTTTTCTATTTGGTAGATCTGATGACTTAAGCTGAAGAATTCTAACAGCATACTTAGTTTGATAGCATGTCTTTGTTGTTTGCCTTGAATAAGCTCATAGAAAATCAATGGTGCATTTGCTTGTTTGTTTATTTATTTATTTATTTTTGTATCCCAACAATTAGCTGTTGTGTTTGATATTACTCATATTTTCTTTTGTTTGATTTCACAGGGTGTTATTGCTTTGAATGGTGGTTTCTTAGTTGATTTTGTAAACCAATATTATAGGAAGTTGAAAATGAGTTTGATTGGACAACTAAGGCGTTGTTTACCATATGGATACTTTAGAAAGCCCATTGAAGCTCCTGTGACTGTACCTTGTTTGATTAACTTGCTTGGTGTATCTAGAAACTTTGCTCAACCTGCATTAAAACAGGAAGAAGAGGTGGAAGAAGTAGAGATAGACCAAAGAAGACTTCCAGCTGATTATAATCCCGAAACTTTTGATCCCACAGAGCATCGGAGTCCCCCGACCGAGAGGGTATGGAGACTTGTTGATGAAATATCTGGACTCACACTGGTTGAAGCTGCAGAGCTCTCTTCTATTATGATGAAGAAGTTGGGCATGAAAGAGCTGCCAGTCGTTGGGGTCATGAATCCAGGTGCTGCTAGAGTGGCTTCAGTGGCGATGAAGGCATCAACGACAGCCAAGGAAGAAAAGAAACCAGAGAAGACAGCTTTTGAGCTGAAGATGGAGTCTTTTGACTCAGCTTCAAAACTCAAGGTAATTAAGGAGATTCGAAGTTTTACTGACTTTGGACTAAAGGAAGCGAAGGACTTAGTGGAGAAGGTGCCTGTTGTGCTTAAAAAGGGGGTGCCAAAAGAAGAGGCAGAAAAAATTATCGAGAAGATGAAAGCAGTTGGGGCTGTTGTCGTTATGGAATGATGTCAAAATGAGCATTGTGCTCGTTTCATCATTAAAGTCTACCAAATTTAATATTTTTCTCAAGGAAAAGCAACATTTTTGTACTAATTTCATATCTAGATCTAGAAATAAAAATCTCATAACAGGTGATGGATCCTCCAGAACTAATAGTTTGGGTACTTGAACTTGCTACTCTGTTTTGTATGGCTCATTGATTTTGTGATTGAAAGCTAAAATAGAATGAACAAATTTCTTAGATCCCGTTTGGCTTAGCTTTTGCTTTTTGCAGAAGTTCTTTTTGGAGGAAATTACTTTAATTTTTGTTTGAAAACTAGTTTTTTAAAGCATTAACTATTCCAAAAGTGCTTTAAGAGGAAGTCATGTTGAATTAACTTCATTTAGAAACTCTTCTAATTACTAAAATTACTTTCTCAAAAGGGTTTTGCTATTTGTACCCGGGCGTTAGGGTTTTGCTATTTGTACTCGGGTGTTGACACGCCCGGGTGCACGACCCCACCGCCCCCCTCACAATGAGTGGGGCCCGGGTGGATCAGATGGATTATGCAACTGGAACGTGTTATAAACTGCTTTGTTAATCACATTAATCTGAAAGCAAATTGCCTAACTCAATTGGATATTTCTTGGCCTTGAATACATTAAATGCGACATGCTCTTCATCAAGCCTTGAAATCAGTGGACATTTTTGCACATCAATAAGAGCTCTACTGGTAACTAAAAATAATTGATCCAAAATAAGTAGAATCCTCATCCATGTCAAGAATACGAAATTCAGCAGGGAAGATGAATTTGTCTACTTTCACCAAGACGTCTTCAACAATTTCTCTTGGGTGCGTGATAGACCGGTTAGCTAGCCGTAATGTCACTGTAGTTACTTTAGCTTTCCACAAGCCTAGTTTTCTGAAAACAGACAGCGTCATCAAGTTAATACTTGCACCTAGATCACATAAAACTTTTTTAAAATAATAATCACCTATAATGCAGGGTACAATGAAACTTTTTGGATCTTTTAATCCGGGAGGTAGCTTATTTTGTATTCTGGCACTGCACTCCTCAGTCAACATCACCATTTCATGTTCATCTAACATGCATTTGTTAAATAAAATATCCTTCAAGAATTTGGCATAAGTAGGCTCAGCAAAAGGGACGTTGATGTGAAGCTTCTTCAAGACCTTAAGGAATTTTATATACTGCTTGTCTAACTTGTGTTTTTCTAGTATGAAGAAATGGAATATGAGGCTCGCATGGTTTGGTAAGAGTAGTGTATCTAAACACTTTTTGGCAGATGTATCTATTGTTTGTTCAGTCTGTTTCACACACTCCTCATCAGCATAGGGTACTTTTTCTTTTATTCGCAACTGGTCTCTTAACATGAATCTCAGGTAACTGGACCCCACTTCTAGTAGTAATTGCTTTGACACGTTCGTTGGGGCTAACCTCTGTATTGCTTGGAAATGTACTTGGTGCTCTTCTTAATATAGCGTGTGCCATATATCCCATTTGAGTCTCCATGTTTTTAATTGCATCACTTTGGTTCTGAAAAGTTGTCTCAGAATTTCTTATGAATTGATTATTAGCCTCCATGTACTGATCTGTCTTTTCCATGAATGTACCAAACATCTCTTCCAAAAAAGTTCTCTTCTCTGCTTGCTGAAACTTAGAACCTTGTGGTCTATCAGGATTGTGACTACTCCAAGAAAATTTGGATACTTCCAAGGATTGTAGGTGTCAGAATATGGATTATTTTGTTGGTGTTGACCCCCTTGTACATAGTCAACTTGTTCCGTGTCTTGTGCAAGAATTTGAAAGTTTCCTGTGCTGTGATTTGCCCAACATTTTCCACAATTTTCTTGCTTGGCTTGTACAGCATTGTCTGACTGTAACATGCTCTTAGCATTATGAATCAAAGAGTAAATTTTTGTAGATAATGCTGTATAAGTGTCCACCTCATACACTCTAGGGCCTTCCTATGAACAACTCGCTCAGAAGCCACAATGGCTGTGGTAGTAGCCGCTTTCTCAAACAATTCCAAGGTTTCATCAATTGTTTTTGTCGATAAGGAGCCATTGGATGATGAGTCAACCATGCTTTTGTAGGATGGAATAAGACTTGCATAAAAATATTGGACTTGAAATCCTTTACTAATGTCGTGATGAGGAAACTTTCGAAGCAAATTCTTGAGTCTGTTCCAAGCTTCATCAAAGGATTCGATTTTCCTCTACCAAAATATGGATATGTCATGCTTCAACTTCGCAATCTTCGCCGATGGAAAGAATATGGTGTAGAATATTTAGCCAAATCATTCCAAGTAGTGATATTGGCAATAAGCTGTCAATCTAACCATTCAAAGGCTCTATCACGTAGAATATGTATGAATAATCTCAATCTGATAGCATCATCTGAAACCCCTTAATATTTAAAGTGTTGACACATCACCAAAAATCGAGAGACACGTGTGTGGATTTTCATCATTACTGCCATAGAATTGATGTACATTCTGGAATAAATAGATGATATTGGTATTTAGCTGAAAGTTCGGTAGTGTTTCCCTTACTTCTCTTTGCCTACGGTGAAAGGTGCGTTCGAATTTCAGATCAAATAATATCAATTAACCATTTCCCGAATTTTGCATAAAATGCCTGAAAGAGAGAAAATAGAAGCATTAAAATAAATTGATAAAAAAATAAAAATAAAACAAAAGCAAAAAGTTCAAATTAGTGCCAAAATAGATGAAATTAAACTCAAATACAATCCTCGACAGCGGTACCAAAAACTTGTCACGAAAATATTATTCGTTTAAATTACCATAAATATATGGTTCGTTAACAAGTAGTAAAATTGATTTTGAATCCAAGTATCGTTCCCACAGATATTGTATTAGTTCAAATTAACTTAATCTTAACTGAAACCATTGAAATTGTGATCTTTTTCCTATAAATTAGATAATTTATTTATGAATGCAAGACCTAACTGAATTAAAATAAGTGTAAGATTATAACTAAATAGAAATCTTATATAAGTATGATGATGAAAGATTTATTAGGATCATGATACACATTGTATCAATCGTCTTTAACCTCGAACCTTATAAACTTAACAACATGATTCAGTTATGAAAATCAATAATCCTAATTTGTTTAATAATATCTGTCGAGTAGAATTAAAACTATTTTTACTTGTGACCCGATTATATTTTTAGGATGAATGCGAATATATAAAAATGCATTAATGGATTTATAAATACTAAAAGATCACGCAAAGTATAGCGGCATATTTTTATTCATTATCGAGCTTTACGACAAATGACACTATAATCCACAAAATTCATACAACCATTGCGCATATAATTGTAGAGAAAAATAAATTTATGGCAATCATTCAAGAATTGAAAACGTACTTTGAATGTCAAACATAAATAAAAACAAGAATTAAAAATTCATGATACAAGGTTTATAGTAAATCTTAGCACAAAAATATTTAGTTACTCATAATGTTGGAAATAAACAAATAAAAGTGAAATGACATCACTAATAAATTGACGCATCGTGATTAATGTTACCGTTAAAGTCTGGTAAGGATTATTTTTAGATTTTAAGTATTAATGTTACCGTTAAAGTCCACTGGTGGGCCCCCCTTCTCTCACAAGCAGTCAAAAAGGGCTACTGAAATGATATGTAACGGCCACAAAAATGATTTTAATTGGGTGAAAAAGTTTCACCAGACAGAAAGTAATTGTAAGTATTGCACTCAACTACAGCTAAGGCCATCTCCAGCGGTGCACCAAAATTTGTACCATTTTGCATCAAATCTTGTACCAAATCTTGGAGTGAATTTCCCAAATAGTCATTGAACTTTACGCCATACTTTCAAGGGGTCACTGAACTTTAAAAATCACCCAAATCATGACTGAACTTTGTAAAAGGTTTCCACGAGGTCATTGAATATTAAAAATCACATTATTCATTACTAAACTCTGCAAAAGGTTTCTACGGGATCACTAAAGTTCAGTGACCTCGTGAAAATCTTTTGCAAAATTCAGTGATAACTTGGGTGATTTTGAAAGTTCAGTAACCTGTTGGAAGCATGGCGTAAAGTTCAGTGATTATTTGAGCAATTCACTTCCAAATCTTGCACCAAACTAAAATTCATTTCCAACCTTTCTGGTCCTTTTTACACTATTAACAATCTCATGTTCTCCTATAGAAAAAAGTTCTCAATTCTGTGATGCTGAACAGTGGAAAATTACTGTGCAGAGTATGACTTTATACCTGTTTTTTCTTCACTTTTAGATGGAAACTTCCAGTTTGCTGGCTTGTGGCCCATGTTCTAAGATGCGTGAAAATGTGCTGCCTACGCGTGAGATGCGGGTGGAAAACGCATCGAATTCGGGGTAATCGCGAAAATGAGTTTCTATTCTAAAAGGAGGCATAATAGCGGCGCATTATCCCGCCTAATCCCTTCTTTTTTTTT